TCATGGCCCTTCCACAGAAGCTGAACCTCCTCTTTGATTCCCCTTTACCATGAATGGTGTTGGTGTCCACCAGCCACCTAAGCTGGATGCTTCAGTGTCTTTCTCGATTCCTACTCCTTCACCACCCACTGGCACGGACATTTGTGCCCTTGTGTAGCTTCCATACCCCAGGTAAGGCTGACTTGCATAACCAGTGGGATATTGTAGAAATGACAATGTGACTTCCAAAGGCCAGGTCATGAGTGTCATTGTGGCTCCCCCTTTGTTCTCTCTTGGGTCATTCACTCTGGACACTCTAAGAACCCTATGGAGAGGCCCAGGTGAGGAGCCATCTTGAAAGAGGCCCCTCCAGCCCCTCAGTCCTTGGCATGAGGGCCCTGAGACAGAACCACCCAGAAGGGCTGCTTCTGGATTCTTGGCCCAGAGACACTCTGTGGTGTGGTTAACGTAGACTGTTAATAATAACCAGCAGCCTCTTCTACCCCTGTGGCTTCCCCCATAGCTCTTCCGACCTCCTTTCCCCTGGTCCTGTCCCTCACAGTGGCAGTGTAGAACATGCCTCCTGGTGGTCTCAATCACTCTGCGGCTCCAGCCAGGCTTCTCGCCTCTGATCTCAGTCCCTCCAACTCACCCTCGAGGAAGCGTGAGATTTCTGAAAGACAGCTCTACTCCTGTTGAAAGGGATTCCCTCCCATCTCCATTTTATAAATCAAGTTCAAACTTCTCACTGTGGAGCAGGCGTCTGTGAACCTGCCCCATCTCTCTTCCCAGGTTCATTTCGACTGAAGGTCACTGTCAGTCATTCTGAGTCACTGCCAACTGCAGCTTCAGGCCACCTAGCCTTTGTTCCTGCTCTTTCCTCTGCCTGCTCACCTCTCCCTGAGCTGAGTCCCAGACTCATGAAAAATATTCAACTGCCCCAATGAGGTGGTCCAATGAAGCTTAAAGGAAAAGGAGACCCAAATCTGAAAAGCCCGCTTCAGATGCAAATGGCCTTCGTTTCCTCTACCCAGGGTTTGTCTCTCTTGGTGAAATCCCCTGCTGGGTCTTTGTAACTAAGTTGGGGCAGAAATAGTTAAGTTATTGGAGTATTCCATGTTCTCAAGTTGGAAGGGAGCTTGGACATTATCATTGTGTCCTTTGCTACTCAAAGTGAGGTCCCTGGACCAGCAGCATCAACACCTTGGGAGCCTGTAAGAAATATAGACTTAGGCCCCACCAGACCTGCTGAGCCAGAAAAGGCTTTGTCACAAAGAAGATTCATATGCAAGGTGACATTTAGGAAGCATTGATCTTGATCCAATTGATCCAAACCCCCACCCACCTCTTGAGCCCCTAAATACCTGTCGAGAGAAATTGATTCTGTTCTGAAACACTCCAGCATGGGCAGTGGCCTGTCTCCCAAAGCAGCCCATGCCACCTTGAGCATTGTCTATCAGGTCCCCCATTGCAAAGTTCCCCCATGTTACCCGTATCTCCAGCTTTTCCACTTCTCATCTCTGACTACTTCCCTATCGTGCCTCTCAACACCTACAACCAATACCCTCGCAATCCACCCATAGAAAGCCATTCAGAAGGACAAGTGAGATCCCATTACTGTGAGTTTCCCTCAATGATTTTTCTTAATCTCTGTTTGGTCTCTTTTAGGTCTGGATTTTAGCACTCATAGCATTTTCTTTTTCTTTTTCCTTTTTTTTTTTTTTTTTTTGGCACCAGGGATTGAAATGGGGGGGGGGGCATTTAACCACCAAGCCACATCCCCAGCCCTTTTCTTTCTTTCTTTTTTAAAATTTGTCTTAATTACTTACACGTGACAGTAGAATGCATTTTGATACATTGTACACCAATGGAGCACAATTTCTCATTCCCAGCCCTGTTTTATATTTTATTAGAGACGGGGTCTTACTAAGTTGCTTAGGGCCTTGCTAAGTTGCTGAGGCTGGGTTTGAAATCATGATCCTCCTGCCTCAGCCTCCCAAGTCGTGGGATTATAGGCGTGCACCACCATGCCTGGCACTTAGCGCTTTTTGACCTAGAGCTGTTGTAAGATAAAGGGAGTCCAACCAGAGAGTGCTACAGAGTGACCTTGGTCTTGTAGGTCTTGTAGGCCTTGGCCTCCTTCCCCTGGGCCATGTTCTCCCACTGGCATGTGGCTTTCGATGAAGCAACCAGCTCAGAGAGCTAGTTGTTGTTCATGGACAGGAAGCTGGACATGTCTGAGGCCCAGGCCTGCAGTGTAGCACCTCCTGCAAGACAATGGGACACTCAGTCCTAACTGAGACTCTCCTGACTCCCTGCCTTAGAATGGCACTTTATACTCCAAGGCCTTTGCCTTGTTGGTCCTCATACTAGCTGGGTTGGCTGGGCTGGTAGGGATTGTTGTGACAGAGGCCTAAACACAAGGCACGATGGCTTTAAGGTCAGAGACTGGGCCAGGTTCCTTCACGTGCTCTTTCTGAGGCTCAGTTGTAGCACCTCTGAGTGGCAACAGAGCATAAGTTTGCCCAGCCCCTGCACACGGTCCTGGAGGTAGAGGAGATGGATGCAGCAAGCATCAGAAGAAAACCAGGCGATGCCTGACTCAGAGAGCACCCTAAGTTCCGTGTCCTCCAGGGAGAGACCAGGACGGGCTCCACTGCAAGTCCAAGTCCCAAGGCCAACCTTGGTGGGCTTCTGGGAAGATGGTCCTATGTCTCCTCTAGGGCTGCTACTCCTCCCACCTCCCTGGGTTGCCCCCCTCACCTGCACTCCCCTCTCCACCCCACTGAACACCCTGTGTGTTGTATAGCACCCAGCTCCCGAGAGGTTACCAGCCTCTACTCCTGAAGCTTCCAAGATCCCTGTGCCTCCCATCCAACCTGGGGACCTGATCCCCTCTCCCCTGAAGGAGCCCGGTGTGGTCCTAACAAGGGTGTGTTGGAAAAAGCACAGGGTGACTTTAGACAAAGGCCTTGAGTGTCTCTATGTCACAGTTGCTATCCCGGTGAAATAAACAGAGCAGTTCCTGCTGTGCATGACAGAGGCCACCACACCTTGGAACCTCAGGGTAGTGCCAAGTCCTCTTCCTCATTTACCCTGCGGTTGGTCTTCTGGAAGCTGCCAGGTGGGAGGGGCAGGCAGGTGGGAGCACTGCCTAGGACAAGCTCCTGTTCAGACTTGTGAGGGGAGCCGAGCCTGCTGCTGTCTTTCCTCCTCCCTGTCAAAGGCAGGCAATAGGCAGGGTACCTCAGGGGTCCCTCCAGCTGGGGTATTTGTTGATAGTCAGGGACTCTGACCCTCAATCTTTATGTGTAAAATGGCAGTAGCAAGTCCGTCTGTCCCAGTGCCATTCTCAAATAATGATGTGACAGTGCTTTGTAAGCTGCAAAGTGACAGATAGGCACCCACCAGAGGACAAATTCACATTGTGTCTTCCTCTACCAGAGACCATGCCAGGCAGTCCTCATCTGGCACTCTGTTCTTTCCCTCTGGATCCAGACACAACCAAAGGATCCTTAAGGTCACAACCACAGCTCTTGGCAGCCACACTCCAGTGGCCATGGAGATTTGCTTGATGTAACACAGTGGCCTCCCTGCCTTTGAGTCCCTGTCACTGTTCCTTCGCTGCAGTGCCCTGATTTATTCCCCAGATTGTCCACCAAATCCTGCCTGGTCTGTTAGCCAGCTGAGTCCTCTCATCGGTGAACCTGCCACAGGCTCCATGGGGGCTCCTCACTGCCCCTTGCAGGAAGCTCCACTCAGTCTCTCTGGCTCTAGAAAACAGACTCAGAACCCAGGATCACCCTCCCCACTCAGAGAACCCATGGGAGCCCTGGGTCGTAAAGGATGGTGGGAGAATTCTTCACTCCCTGCCCAACTCTGGATGATAAACCAGATGCATTCAGAGAAGCCTCTGTCCCTAAATTGAGAATCTAGCCATTTCTTAAAGCCTTTTGATTGGAAAGTTCTTCTTGCTATCCCATTGCATTCCTTTCTACTGTAAAGGGAACAGGGGAGCAGAGGCAGTGAGGCATATATGAGGTCTCCACTGGGAAATGGCGAGGTCTGTGCCCACTGCTGGAAACACACATGCACACACACACATGTGCAAACACACGTGCACACACTCCTCATGCACCTTGCCAACTGAGGAAGCAAACTTGTCACTGAGTCAGATCTGCTCACCCTCCTCCACCTCTACTTACTGGCACTGGCTTCCAGCTTGAGGCCAGCAGAAGGCTTTGGTTGATGGCCAAAGGGTGATGACCACTGGGTGGTGGGGATTTCGAGCCAGGCTCTGTGAACTTGCTCCAAGCCACAGTCACTATTTTGGATGTCCTAGCCACTAGCCCAGCCCATTTGGCCCTTCACCTCCATGGGCAATTCGGCTTCCTCTTGCTGGTCTCTGTAACTGAAACCCTAACATTTGCCCCAAACAGCCCATTAGCATGGCTGCCCCGCAAAGGGCTTCATGCCCACTGGCTGTAGAGACTCTGGCTTCCCATCACCCACAGACTCCCTCCCCTCCTCTCCCTCCACCTCTCTCTAACCAGAGACCTGAGGAATCTGTCTGTCCATCCTTCTTGCACTCCTCCTCACAGGCAGGACTGGCCATCTTGTCAGTGGGCCAACAGGAGTGTGTTGGGGAGGTGCCAACTGCACAGTCACTAAAACTTGCAGCCTATCCTGACCCTTTCAACAGAAAGCCACCAACCAGGCTGCATGCACAGCCTTTCTGTACCTCGTCCTCCTTCTCTCCCAGCCCTCCTCTCAAACTGTGCTCCATACTCCATTGCCTGCTGCCCCAACCAGGCTCCCTCCCCTCTGTCACATACATGCTCAGTTTGTTCTGCTGCTCTGCAGAGAAAATCAAATACAAATACAGGCTGTGTAGGCAACACGGCGGCGCACTTATGTGCCTGTGCTGCATGTATATGTGCGTGTGTGCATGTGTGTGCATGCTCACGTGAGCATCTGAATTGTGGCATGTGTGTGTACTTTGAACACTCAGAGACCAAGCCTTCAGATTGTGCTGTTTATTGAGATGCAACAGGAAGGGTCTTAAAGAACACAGAAGGGAACCGTGTCTCCTCTTCTCTGTTTGTGAGTACAGTGAAGAAGGAGACCCGGAGTTGTGCTTGGTCCCATTCAGAATGAAGCATGGGACTGAGCGGGGAGGTGGGGACCTGGGCCACTCTTGGTCAGTTGTTCTCAGTCCTCTTCCTCTTGAACACAGAGCCACCTCCTAGCGGAGGCAGGAGCTGAGACAAAAGTCCAGCATGTGAGGGTGTTTCCATCTGAGGCCCAGGGTGGTGTTGAGACAGAGGCTGGCAGAGGAGGAGAGGCTGGAGTAGCTGGGGGATGGTGAGTCCGGGGGTGTGCTGGAAGGAATTGCACTGGGCTTGGCCGTCCAGACCTGCCAGGCTCAGCAGGCTCAGGCAGAAGAAGTGAAGCAATTAGCCAAGGCCAGAAGCAGGGGTCAGGAGCAGGACCAGCAGGGTGGAGGAGGGGTTGATGGGAGTGGCACACAGCGTGGAAGCCAGAGCTGGGGTCCTGGGTGATGGAGGGCACGGGTTGCCCTCTTTACCGACTGCCTTTCTTGGAGGGGGAGCTCAGGTTAGAGCCCTTCCCCAGGGTATCCTTGTAATCGTTGGCACTGCTCCGGCTCCTGCTCTCCCCACCGCGGACACTGCACACTCCGGAGATGCAGCTGGTGCTGTTGGCCACATAGCCGCCGCTGACTGTGCTGGGACGGAAGCCGTAGCCTCCACTGCCACTGGTGCTGCTGATGATGGCTGCAGAGGCAGAGCCAGGCTCAGCACCCACTCAGGCAGGGCTGGGGTCTCCTCTCCCCAGGACACACAGGGTTCTTAGGGGCCCAGCTCACAGTTGGAAGAATATTCCAAAGGCACCTGACCCCACTTCCTGTCCTTAGCTTTCTCAGCTTATAACCAATCTAGCTGAGTTTTGCCCTATTAATGCACAGAGGCCTGTCTCCTTGGTCCAGGCACCTGTGTGCCCACCTGTCCTGGACACCTACTCACTGCCCCTCCTATTAACCTCTTTGCTAATCTTCCACCCTCCAACCTCTCTCCCCTGCTAGGGAGAGACAGAAGATCTTCTATGTTCTGGTGTGACTCTAAGCCCTGCTGAGAAAACCAGAGATCCAATACTGTCAGCTTGATCTCCAAGATCCCCATTCTCTAATATCCCAGCCCAGGTCTACTTATAATTTACAAACTCAGCTTCCCAAGCCTCACACAGACCCATGCATCATAGAACAGTCCCCCCAACCCCGCCTTTGGCAATAGCTATCTCTTGCTGCCATCCCCTGGGAACAGAGAGTCAACATGATAAAGATGAAAGACACCTGGGTAGGCAGTCAGGACACCTGATCTCTGGCCATGGGTCTACCCTCTGGCTTTGGGAACTCAGCAAGCCTTTCCCTCTCTGGTTCTTAAATGGCTTATCTGCACACATGAGGGGTGACTAAGGTCCTTCCCTGCCTGCACAGTCACAATTTAAGGTCAAAGCACACAAGTACTTACAGATGCTGACAGGGGAAGGATATTCTCCCGACATCCTGTTAGGGAGAGAAGTGAAATAAGAGCATGTCATCCATTCCAGTCTTCAGAGCTGCTATCCCCCGCCCCCCCCCCCCCCCCCGGACTGATGTAGGTTTCTGAGCCCATTGGATACCTGCAGAAACTCCAGTGCTTCTTTGACACAAGCAGAACCTGAGAAGCTTTGGGGGTCATCCCTGAATCTTTAGAGTAGCCAGGCAATGACCTCAGTCAAATAATAGTTTGCAAGAGGTGCCAGTGTCCAGCCCATACACAGAGCTTCCCATCTCCCTAACTCACTGGGGAAGCTGGAGTGGCAGGCCAAGCACACCTCCAACAAGCTCAAGGTGCACCTGGACAGGTGAGGAGGATGGAACAAGAAGAGCTAATAGAGGAATGGGCTTAAGGGGCAGCAGGATGTTCCCAGATAGACCCAGGGAAGTTGCAAGGATTGAATGAGCTAATCCACGTAGCACTGCCAGGGATGAAATAAGTATGGTATGAGTGGATACAATATGGATGGTATTATTAATTACTATTGTTATTTCTATCACCCACACTCCATCACTTCCTGAGAACTCAACTTTTCTGGATAAAGATCTTTTCGGGTTTTCTCCTTTGGTTCTTCCCAAACCCTCAGGGGCCTCCTGCCAGAGCACGTCCACCCACCTGCACTCCTCACTCTCCAGCAGCTTGCGGTAGGTGGCGATTTCCATGTCCAGGGCCAACTTCAGGCTCATGAGCTCCTGGTATTCACGCATCATCCGGGCCAGCTCCTCCTTGGCCTGGTGCAGGGCTCCCTCCAGCTCGTCCAGCTTGGCCCGGGCATCCTTAAGGGCATTGTCCCCTCGCTGCTCAGCATCCGCAATGGCTGTTTCCAGGCTAGAAGCCTAAACAAAGAATTAGAGAAGTTAGGAAACTAGAAGGAGTCATCATCTCCATTCAAATCCTTCCCATTGTTTAAGATCTCAGGACAGAGATGCCCACCTCCACACCCCTGCTCTAGTTGGAGAAGGGTCGGAAGTCCTTCCTGAGATCTAGCTCCATGCCCTGAACTCAGATGTTTGTGGTGATGGAAAATCATGCATCTTGCTCACCTTGGGATGGCAACCATCTGAGCACCACTCAGTTCCCAAGACATTTAGAGCCATACTATTTCCAGGACACAGAAGGAATAAGAAGATTGACTTTCAGCTTTTGAGTTCTTCAAGGTCCCAGAGGAGAGTGGAAAGAGCATGGAACAGGAGGTCCAGTCTCCTGGTCAGGAGACCCTCGTTCAAAGCACAGCCCTACCACTCACCAGCTGTGCAACCCCCTCAACCTCTCTGGGCTTCAGTTTCCCCATCTGTAACATCAGGGATGGTAACTAATGCCCCTCAGAGTCTTCATGAGAATTAAGTGTGAAAAAATGATAGATGCTGCTACTATTTTATTACATGTGTGCATCTTTGTCTTTATCTGCTAATGCTGAGGCTCCTCCCATATTCCTGGGAGCCACCTGGGTAAATCCTCAGTGGGTGTTCCCTGAGACTATTTCTCCTTCTGGGTCATTAAAACAACAAATGTTTATTAAGTTGCTATTATGTGCAGGCCTGCTGCTGGAATCTGGGGAGGGACAAAGCAGCCAGCTCCCTGCCCACTTTCAGTGTAGTGGGGGTGGGAGGATAGGTGTCAGAAAACTCCAGAAGGAATGAACCCGGGCAGTGAAGCACAGACATCTGGAGAGCATGTGGCTGTTGGAGGAGGTCCCAGCCCAGCCTGGGGGAAAGGAGGCTTCCGGGGTGACAGAGCTTCAAAGCACAGGTGCTTGGAGTAAGAGAAGAAATGCCCCAGAGACCCTCCAAGTGTTGGAGGCAGCAACCTCCTTGGCCTCCTCTTTTTGTGTGGCAGAGATTGGGAGGCCACGGTTCTCAGTCAACTCACTTCTTACCCAGTCAGCTCCCCTGCCCTTGACCACGGGCCAGCGTCCCTTACCTGCTTCTTTGCATTATCAATCTCTGAGCGGAGTCTCTGGATGAACCGATTCAGCTCTGTGATTTCATTCTTGGTGTTTTTAAGGTCATCTCCATGTCGGCCAGCTGCCAGCTGCAGCTCCTGGAACTAGGGCCCCAAAGCACAGAGTTGCAGATGAATATGGGGAGCTTTTCCAGGTTGTGGATGTCATGGGACCAGGGCACAATGGACTCTCACCTGGACACTGCCTCTGTTCTGGGCACCATTAAGCCCCACCCCCATGCCTACTGGTGTTGCCCACCCAGCCCAGCCTCAGCCCCGCTCACCTTGGTCTGGTACAGGGCCTCGGCCTCAGCCTTGCTCTTCAGGGCGATCTCCTCATACTGGGCGCGGACCTCGTCGATGATGCTGTCCAGGTCCAGGTTGCGGTTGTTGTCCATGGAGAGGATGACGGACATGTCACTGATGTGGGACTGGATCTGAGCCATCTCCTGCAGGGGAAAGAGCGGTCTCTCAGCAACAAGCTTGCCCAGGCAAGGTGAGCGAGTTGCCAGTGGTGCCAACTTGGAACCTGGAACCCATGTCTCTGGGCAAAGTCAGTTCCCTAGGGGTCCAAACAGATTCCCACCACCATGGAGGGAGGCTGGACTCCTCCCTCCCCAGGCAGAGGATGGAGGCTGAGGAGCTTCCCAGAGTTGACGTGGGAGATGGATGACTATCTGGAGGTCTCCTGAGAGCTGGGCCTCTGTCACCCCAGCCCCCAGAGCAAAGTTGTACCCACTGGCTGCCCTCAGAAAGAAGTAAAGTGGAGAGACAGACTTACAGCCTCAAAGAGACACTTGGAGAACTTGATGTCCTGCTCCATGGAGTCCACCTTGGCCTGGAGCTCTACCTTGTTGGCATAAGCTGCATCCACATCCTACAAAATGCCCATCCATCTCCAGTCACCATGGAGCAGCTGGGAAGGAAATGGCCACCCCAACCCAGGGGCCTCCCTTAGGGACATAGACGCCCTCCCTTCCTGGTGGCTCAGGGAGAAGGGGATAGAGGAGCCACGCCTCAGCACCCTACCCCAGGAGAACCCGCTCCACTGCAGGAATACAGGAAGGAAGCCCTAGCCAGGCCACTGTCTGAGGCACCCCTGTGGCCTCTGGGCCAGGTGCCATGCAGCAGGGGAACTCCTTGGTGTCAGGTCGTGTCATGGCGGCCCTCCCTGGCCCACACTGCTCTTCCTGGACAGTTTTTCATCACAGTCCCCTGCCTTCCCCTCACTGTCTCTGCATCAGTTCATTTTGGGGCAGGTGGCAGAGCATGCTGCCAGCTCAGCATCCCTGGGCCAGGTCAGCCCCCAGATGCCGGCCACCTTCCCCTACCTTCTTGAGCAGCACAAATTCATTTTCCGCAGCTGTCCGCCTGTTGATCTCCTCCTCATACCTGCAAGAGGCCACAGCTCATTGGCTCATGCATTTCACAGAGAGCCCCTTGTTGTGCCCAGAGAAGACCCCGAGTGAGGAGCAGAGTGCCCGTTGGAGGGCGCAGGACTGGGAGGCCACAGAGGACTGGGCAGTGGGGACAGCTGGGCACAGAAGGCTTCCTGGAGGAGGTGCATGCAATCGAGTTTGGAAGAAGAGGATCTTTGAAGATCCAGCTTAGGAAATAAGGAAGAAGCTTGTGGAGCAAAAGCCCTGTGGGAAATCTGAGAGGAAGCACCAACCAAGCTGCTCCCCAAAATAAGGGCAAAGCATTACAAATGATAAAGGGCTCCCGGGAAGGGCTCTAGGGTTGCTCCTCAGAGCAGGCTGGGACCCCGCTCCTACTGGTGAGGACCTAGGAGCTTGGAGAGAATGTTAGCGGTTGACCCAAGGTTTCCCTGACCACTGCCCAGCTAACTGGACATTTGCCCTAAGTGCCAGGTCAGAGGCTGGGTGGCAGAGAGCATGTTTTTGGAGGGGGATTCTATTTGGTATGATCACAAGCTCTACCCCACTTTCAAAAACTTTAAGTTGGGGTGACCACCAAGGTCCCTTAGAGGGACAGGGTCTGGTGTCCAGGGAGTGACAAAGGGTCCTTCCTCACTCACCTCTTCTTGTAGTCCTCCACCACATCTCGCACATTCCTCAGCTCCGAGTCCAGCCTCACCCTGTCCCCGGACAGGGTCTCCAGCTGCTTCCGCATGTTGCTGATGTGGCCCTCGAGGATGGGCTCCAAGTTGTTCTTGCAGTTGTTCAGGTCCAGCTGCTGCAGCAGCTCCCACTTGGTCTCCAACACCTGGTTCTGCTGCTCCAGGAACCGTACCTGGAACCCAAAGCCAGCTACTGTGGAGGCCCCACAGAAAGAGTCACACCTGTCACTCAAGGGCTTGGTGCAAAGCACACTGCCTGCATATTCTCCTTCACCTCACTACAGCCACATGAGGTGGGCAAATCAGCTCTGCTCAACAGAGAGGAAACTGAGGCACGGAGAAGTCTCACCTCTTTCCATAGCTGCACAGCTTAATTTCTGGTAGAGTCCAGAATTGAACCCAGACACTATACTCTATCCATCCAATCTCCCAGAGCCCACCATGACCAAACCAGTGCAGGGCATGGGTGTGCCTGGCAACAGTAGGACAGAGCAGGACAGGTGCATCTTTCTGAAAGGCTGAGCTTTCTGTAGAAGGGAGTCTCCTTTTCGTTTCATCACGTCAAGGCTCAATGATGCTTCAGCCAAAGATATTTAAAGTTCCTCAGTCAGGCCCAAACACCATCTTTCCTTCTAGCCTCTCTCTTCCTCCTTTGTCCACCTTCCCTAGAGCAAGCATGGCAAGTGGGACAAGATGGACAGATGGAGCTGGGCCCCCACGGGGAGTTTGATCTATATACACTCCTCTTGTATGATTTGGGGGACCCCACTTTCAAAAGGATATTTATCTTGATCTGTTTACTGTCTAAATAAGGTTGTGTTCCCCAAATCACAACACAGGACATGGGAACACTGCCTGGGATTCAGCATTGAGATAGGACTGTCCACCAGTTTGTTCCTAGAAGGTCTTCTAGCATTTGCTTTGGTTCAACGAATCCTGAATTCTTTGTGTATTTCCCCAAGACTGAACCACAGAGCAAACCCACGTATGTAGGACCCCAGAGTTTACATGCACACCATGTACCCATCTGGATTGCTGAGAGGATTTGCCCATCTTCTCTGGCAGTCTGAGGTGAAGGGATTGATCTCCTCCTGGGACTAAAATTACTCTGGAACTGTCCAGGTTTTGTGCCTCCTTCCCCATGGGAACAGACCAGCTTTGTGAACAAGACTATCTTCCTGTCCACCTTTCTTTCAATATCTCCAGAAATTCCCCCTCCATAGGATTCAACTAGCCCAGCCAAGTGTCAGGCCATCAGACCTCAATCATCAGAACACCTTGATCTTCTAAATAAAGCTTGGAGGACTGAGAAGCTGCAGAGCCAGCCCTGGCACCTGAGGCTGAGAAGAGGGCAGGAGGGACCCTGCCAGGCTGGAAGGCAGGAGCGAGGTCAGCTCTAATGGCCACATGGCCCAGACTTGGACTTGGGCTGCCCTGTCCTTGGTGCTTGAATGTCATGGAGCCACCAGCCCTCTAGTCTCCTCCCCTGGATCTGGAGGTGGGAGGCTGAGGGTCTGGTCTTGCCTTTCCCATCCTCCAAATGGCCCTAGGCATGGCGTAATCTCCCAGCCTTTGTTGACTCATAAAAAGGCAGGAGTCTTTCTGCACTGGAGGATCCCTTGAGGTCCTTCCAGATCTAGGATTCCTCTCCTGCTCCCCAGCACCCCTCCCTTAGCTTCTAGACATTAAAAAGATAGCAGTGATAACCACCGTTTGGGGAGTATTTCGTTTGTATCAGGCCTCGTGCCAAGATCCTCACGTGTATTTTCTTTTCTAAACCCTACACAACCCCAAGAGGGAGGCCATCATCTCCACTTTAGAGATGAGGAGATGGAAGCTCAGACAGGACATGCAACTTTCCAAAGCCACACAGCTGGTCACCAACGGGGCTGGGGAGAGGCCAGGCCTGACTCCAGAGACGATGGAAACCTCTTCCCCATGGTCCTGTTCTGCCTCTCAAGAGGGTCCTCAACTGAAATAAATGCCCATGACAGAGACATCCGTGAATGCAGAGGACCTGGAATGACCACACACTAATGCCTCTGATCCACTGATCATGTGACAAGGTCAGCATGGTACAGGAGGAAGACAGGCAGGTGCCCTACAATTGGCCTTTCCTGACCACAGCCTGAATGACCCTAGGCTTAGCACTGGCAGCAAGCTGGCCCTCAAGAGTAAGAACCAGGTCTTTTACCTTCGGATCTCCTGCCAGTGCCTCCATCAGCCTCTGTCAGTAGAAATTGCCTCGGCCTCTGCTTTTTCTCTTAGAGGACAACACCAAGAATCTTAACGTACTCTAACACAGGGACTCCAAAGTCACCCTGATGCTGGAATATACCTGCCTTGTGCTCAATAAGTGCCTCTTTTTATCTAACCTCAATGCTTCTGCTATAACCAAATTTCATGTTCAAGAAGGGAAGAGCAGAACCATTCACAGATTCCCCAGGTCCTAGCAGACTCACCTTGTCAATGAAGGAGGCGAACTTGTTGTTCAGTGCCTTGATCTGCTCCCGCTCCTGGGCACGCACTTTCTGGATCTCGGGGTCCAGCTCCACGTTGAGGGGAGCCAGGAGGCTCTCATTGACGGTGACCTGGTGGATGCCTCCGGGTGGGCACACAGTTGGGCACATAGGCCCCAGGGCCACACTGCCAAAGATGCTGCCAGCAAAGCCACTGGCCCGACCTCTGCCAAATCCAAAGCCTCCATTCTTCCCACTGCCACTGGCCACGTTGAGGGAAATGCTCCGGGTGCCTCCCAGGCTGTAGAGGCTCCGACTGCCAAAGCCCCCGCTGAGCCCTTTGCCCCCTGCCCTGTAGGAGGACGAGCTGCCTCCAGAAAGCACTGCCGAGCAGCCACTGAAACCCCCCTTGGAGGCAGCTCCAGACTTGCAGGTGAACTGGCGGCTCATGTTGCTGGTAGAGATGGAGCGAGGATGCAGGAGGGAAGAAGGCAGAATCCCGCTAAGGCGTTGCTGGCTGTGCTGAGGACCGGCAGGTGCCTTTATATATGCTTGGCACTGGGCTTGTGGATGGGCAGTCAGGGCTTAATTCGTGGGTTTGGCCTGCCTGGGAGCAAGAAGTCATTTTCTCTATGCTGAGCTAGAGATCAGGCCCTCCCCACCTCTGAAACAACACGAAACCTTCAAATTGCTGGGCTTGCAAGCCTTGCTCATGTAATTTGGGTCTTATCTAATTAACCTGCTGTTATAGGGTAATTTGCCCCAGGCCTCAGCCTCTCCAGGGGGGCGTCACCTGTACTTCACCATCTCTGTTCTGATTAATCTTCCCTGGATGGTTGGCTTCCTCCTGGGGGCTCAGGGAACAGAGAAGGGATGCACTTCCTTGAACAGGGCTGGCCACCTTGTGTCTGGGGGCTCCAACCACAGCTGTGTCCAGAAAGGGAAGATCACTCAGGTGTTCTCCCTCCCCAGCATCCCGGAGACATAACCCACAGAGAACAGCAACTGTCTCAGCTGGGGGTGGGGTGGAGAGACCCTGTCCTTGACACGGGACATAAGCAGCCCATGTCAGAGCCAGCCGTGGGCACATGGCAGCCAGGAGCTTCTAGACCAGATGTTCACACTTCTCCAACACCCATAATATGGCAGGTTGGGGGTTAGGGCAGGGGCAAGCCCTTCATGCACTGAACAATGAGGAAGAGGAGGGGAGGATGGAGCTGGGCAGAGACTCTGCTAGAAGGCAGACAGAGAAGTCAGCAGCCAGCCCGTGGCCTGGGGATTTCAAGGAAAGATTCCGGAATGGTCCATTCCACTGTTTCTGTCTCTCTTACAAAGTGTATTGGCTAATGAGGCTTGGAGCTACCTGTCCAGGTATCACCTGTCCTCAGCTGCTGTCAACATGAGCTCAAACACATGCTGCATGAGCTGAGAAGGAAGCCTCATGGGGCCCTCCCCACGAGTCCAAGCTTCAGTGAAGGCCTCAGTGGGGGTGACCCAGTGAGCGTGATGCCAACCTGCCAGGCAGTCCTATGGTGCCTGCCTCAAGGCTCTGCCTGCTGCCCGCTCCATCCTGGGTTACTGGCTCCTGTGATGGGCCCTAGTCCCCTCATGATCACCACAGTGGGCTCTGCCCCTGGAGATTGCCCTGGCTCAAAGATCCCTGCTGGGACCCCATGGTGGTCTGCCACTCTTGGCTGGCTGGGACACAGTAGGGAGGAGGACCCAGAGACAGATTGGGTTGGGTCTCTCTCTTACTTGTTTTGGGGTAGGCCTGGAATCCATTTCCTTCCCCTCCTCTGCCTCTCTTCCTCATTCCCCCCGCCCGCCCGCCATCTTGCCTTCATCATTCCTACTGAAGTCTCTCTCCCTCCCTTCTCTCTTTCCACCATCTCTCTCCATCCCTCTTTATTTGCTCCTTTCCGACTTCCATATCCATCCTTCCCTCTCACCCCACTTCCTGCTCTCCTCCCAGGTCTTCTGGGACTAGCTCTGCTCACCTCCTCAGCCCTTAGCCTGTGCTTGGATGTGTGGAAGGACGGTGACTCTGTGCTCAGCTCCTGTGATGTACCTCTAAGGCCACACCACATGCCATCTTAGTTTTCCTCTGTTAAGGATGGAGGAAGCTTCTCCAGACCAGAGCCCACCAAGTACACTCCTCCCCCTCCCCCTCCCTCCCTTTCTCCCTTTGGCACACCTTCCCTTAGGGTCCATGGTGTGCCCAGAATTGTACCCCATTCTGGCAGCACAGAAGTTTGTGGAATAATGCCCTAGGCCTCTTGGGCCACGATCCTGGCATGGTGGTCCTCTGTGCATGGTTTTGCTGGCCGTATGTTTCTGTGCCATGCATGGCAGCATCCCAGGCAGCCACCAATGCCCTGCAGCTGCTGCCCCTGCCCCTGCCCCATCGCGCAGCCCCCTTCCTTGCTGCCCCCTGCCTGGCTAAGGACTCCTCACCCACTGGGCTTGCTTCACTTTGCCAAGCTGCTCCTATCCAGCCCAGACTCCTTCTCTCACCATCTCTTCTGACCCAAATTCCTCGGCTCCTCTGAAATCCTGCTTAAAACCCTGAACTCTGCCCCATCCCCTCTCCCCTGCCCCGACTCCTCTGTCCATTGATACCTGCCTGTCAGAAACTGTGTTTGCTGGGGTCTGGGTGAGATCCCACGTACCCAGTGGTGACTCCCTCTCTGCTTCCCCTCAGAGTCCAGTTCCAGCCTCTGAGCATCCCACTGTGAAACTCTTTGTTGGGGAAGCAGCCAAACAGAGATGGTTCACCTACATGGGAGCCCGGGCTCCAGGCACCTGAATTCCATGCCATCACTCAGCAGAGGGGCTTGGCATGGCCTCTCTGAGCCTCAGCTTCCCCAACTATCAATGGAGCAATGAATTCCCATATGGTGGTTATAACGATGACCCATGTTAATCCACATCAAGTGCTCCCTGTGTATCTGGTGCATACTTAATGTCCAATAACTTTTATCAATGACCAAAAATAGGAAATAAGGCAGCACTGGCCTGGCCTCTCCTCCCTCCTTCCTCTCCCAGGGGGCATCTGGATCAGCACATTCCCACACAGTGGCATCAGATGTTGAGGACAGGGAAGGGGTGGTGTCCCCACAGGCCCCAGGCTCTCCACTCAGACCATTCCTGACACTGGATAATGCACCATAAGAAACAATAACAAGAGCCACTGTCTAGTAAGTGCTTGCCAGGCACAAAGCTCAATAGGAAGTTCCCCATAGACACACCTCACATCCATAGTATTGATCCATTTATTAAATTCTTACTGAGCACCTATCAAGTACAAAAGAGGGCAATCCAAAATCTCCTGCCCCAAAAGAACTTAGTCTCTGTGACCCTTCCAATGCAGATGTCCCTGGAAGAAGCAGCTCATCTGACTATTAACGAGTCATTAACACTCTAGTATGAATTAGTTATCAGCACTGGCCATTAGGAAAGAACCACCCCGTGTTGTTGATGAGGACAATGATAGAGGACGGAGCAGGAGAGTGCGGGCCACCCACAGGAAGGGTGGACCTGGCCTAGGGCTCCTGGGATGCTTGTGTTTTGCTGGAGGGAAAAGGGAGGGAGGCAAGAAAACCAGGATAGGCCCCATTTCACCAAGGTTACAAAGGTCCTGCCTCAGCCCCTGTTTTAACTTAGAGCTAGAAATATTGGGGACAGGAGGTGACAGAGTCCCTGCTTTGGGAGGCCTCCTGACCTGGTGGAGACAACACGTGAGCTACCATGTCGCAGCTTCCTGTCCCTCCTGCCCTTCACAGATGGCTATGTGAGAATGGAATTCTGAGCAATTTCTGACCCAGCATGGACACGCTTGAGCCCCAGTTTTACTCTGTAAATAGGTCACAGGCGGAGTGTCAATTAGAGAATCAAAGCCAAGATCTGTAATTTTGTGTCTCTGTACCTGTGATGACGGCCACTTGGACACATTTGTTTATGATCCTTTGGTTCTGATTGGCATGTCTGCTCTACCTGCTCGGTGTTCCCGGATCCCAGGAGCCTCCAGGAGAGGCCCTTAGAGAAAGAAGGGCAAAAGGGCAAGAGAATCCAGTACCACACAAGAGGGCAACTGCTCGGGAAAGATGAAAGCACAGAGAAGAGGCAAGACTTGGGGACAATAAACCCACCAGGGCTGCCTGGAGGAGGGGATTCGGATTCCAGCCTTTTAAGAGATGAGGCTTGGATGGACGGGAAGTGAGAAATAGGAAAGAAGCCCGGGCCGTCAGGAGGCAGGTCATTTATGAAGAAAAATCCCCCCAGACTGGAGCAATCACGAGTGAAGGGTGACCTTGAGTGACCCCAAATCCCAACTGTTCATGTGACAGGGTGAGTGACGGGGAGCCACTGAGGGCTATAGAGCCGGTGGAAACCTAAGCAGTCCATGTTTGAGGAAGCAGAATCTCACTGGCATGTGGGTAGGACTGGTGGATGGTGGATGGGCAGAGGCTGGAGGCACTGAGAGAGAAGCAGCTGGTTCTCTGAGCAAAATAATCGTCTCCAAAATTAGAGAGAATGAGCTGAGCTATTTGAATGACACAGCCCAGGTCCCGCCAGCCCTCCTCAGCACGTGGACCCAGGACACGGCATGTTGTCTACAATTCCTCCCGAAGTCCACCTCCTTGCACCTCCACATCCTCCTGAAGCTTCAGGTAGGAAGTGCCCATAACCCAAGCCAGCTGGGGGGACTGCAGTTCCTGGGGGACTTGGCCACCATCAGAGCCACTCATCTGGGGCAGGACAGCTGCTTGGCAGCAGGTTTGCTCCTGACAAGGCCAAAGGTGAGCTCATCCACAGAAGCTGGGGTGTAAGGACAGGGGAGTGTCCCGCCAGGCACTCAGCTCCATGCCCATTCTGCTGCATCTGGCTGCCTTGGGGGCAGCCCGTGCTTCTGCCTTGTTTAGCTCGGTGGCCAGTCATTTGGACTTGGCCAGTCATCTCCTTCCTCCCCACCCCGACCTCTGTTGAAGGGTATAGACTTGGGACCCGAGAACCAGGTTTTGGTCCCGCCTCAGTCACTCAGGAACCGTGTGACCATGGCAGGTCTGCTACCTTCCCAAGCCTCTGTTTCCATATCTCTAAGAAGGGGGCACCAACCCCTGCTCCACCTACTTCCCGAGGAGGATGGGAGGTGCTTTATAAATAACCATAATGACACTGCGGCTGCTGGTAGCAGCTACCACTGGGCAATGTTCACTCTGCCCTTCACGTAGACTAATTCATTTAATCCTCACAACAGCCCTAGGAGGTGGGTACCATTATTATCCCCACTTTACAGATGAAGATACCGAGGCCCAAGGAAGTGAAGCAATGTATTCAAGGTTGCACAGCTAGTGCTTGACCCAGGGTTCAGACCCAGGCAGTCTGGCTGCGGGCTGTTTCTTGGCCACCAACTGTCCTAGCTGTCCTGACTTCCTGGTGCATAAACATAGAGAGCCAGTGCCTGCCACAGTCCAGGTGCACACGTCCACCTGTCCTTCCACAGCCTCTGAATTCCGTTCTCCAATGTCCCTCTGGCACCTGAACCATAGTGGAAAACACTGAGCTCATCACTCTCTATCCCAAATGGGCTCCCTCCCCCTAGTGCCCGTGCCCCCGACTCCTGGTTGTCCCAGGAGTGGACAACACTTGCCGTGGAATGCAGGGACTCCAGCTAAGGGCCGAGTGAGGGAGTTATTCATTCATTCACTGTCCCTGACGCCATGAAAGCAGGAGAGCTTGTGACTAGTTGGGTTGAGAGCACATCCCTTCTCTAAGGCAGGAGGATGGACAAGGGGACTTTTCAAGATCACAAAAGATGATTTTCTTTTTCTTTTTTTTAATATTTGTGCTTTTTAGATATACATGACAGTAGAATGTATTTTGACATATGATACCTACATGGAGTATAACTTATTCTAATTAGGATCCCAGTGTTGTGGTTGGGCATGATGTGGAGTTACACTGGTCGTGTATTCATATTTGAACACAGGAAAGCTACGTCCGATTCATTCTACTGTCTCCTGTTCCTATTCACCCTCCCTTCCCTTCATTCCCCTTTGTCTAATCTGATGAACTTCTATTCTTCCCTCTCCCCATTTATTGTGTGTTAGCATAGGCATATCAGAGAGAACATTCGGACTTTCTTTGTTGTTGTTGTTTGTTTGTTTTTTGTTTTGGGCGGTTTTGGGGGTTTTTTTGTTGTTGTTATTGTTTTTTGGCTTATTTCACTTAGCATGATAGTCTCCAGTTTCACTCATTTATCAGCAAATACTATAATTTTATTATTCTTTATGGCTGAGTAATATTCCATTGTGTGTGTGTATACACATTTTCTTTAACAAAAGATACTTTTCAATGAGACTTTCTCCACCAACAAATTCAGATACTCAGTTAAAGCCTCCTGCTACCCTAAGTTTGAAACATGGAGAATATTTGTAAGATCAGAAAACAGGAAGACCATGGCCGAGGGGGAGGCACTGGGAGAAGCTGCAAGAAGGATAGATGAGGTTCCAGGGGACCATGCACAGTGCTGTGACTAGGCATCTTCTGTGTTCATTCAACATTTGCTGAGCTGCATTCTGTGCCAGTACCTGCCGCAAACAGGGACAGGGGAAGGCACAGGCTGGCTTCAAGGATTTCTCCATGATTAGAGGTCTGCCATTGCTGAGACTTGTAGCTTTTGTTCAATCCCAGGTGGAGAGAAGGTTCTAGCAACATTTGGGTTTTGTGCCCACTTTAGCTGGAAAGCAAGATAGAGTGGGGTTGGGATCTTCAGCAAGATAGATATTCAAAATCCTGGTCCAAGTAATGCAGAGGCCAGGACCTTAGGAGTTGAAGGAAAGGGATGTTGCCATTCCTTGGGCTTCAATTGCTTCAACTCAACAACCAACATCCATCAACAGCGATGATGTTAGACACACAGGGCTGTGAATGGTTCTCCATGACCAAAGCCTGAGACACAGCAGTTAGTTAAACAAGCCCTTCATTTGCTGGCGGAGTTTTGGCTGCACTTATCTGGGCCACACAGAGATGTCCAGAGGATGGGCAGCTCTTGGCCATTAGAAGTCCAGCTCCTCAGAGGCCCCCAAGACTTCCAGGCTTGTCCTGGGCCAGTCAAATAAAGGGTAGGTTGTCTCTGTCCCTTTTTGGCTCTGGATGGCTCTACCTATCCTTATACCAGGTTTTCAGGTGCCATATAGGAAAGGCTGGGGACACAGTCCAGGGACATGGCTTCTCTGGCCTCTTCTCTGCTATCCTTCCAAATTTTATTTTTATTTTTTATTTAGATGAAATTTACATAAAACGAACCATTTTAAATTGAATATTTCAGTGACATTTGGTATATTCACAACATTGTCCCAGTACCTCTGTCTAGTTCCAGAACATTTCCATTACCCCCAAAGGAAATTCTACACCCATTGGTAACCCACCCCCACCCACCCCTTTGCCTACCTCTGCAACCGCCAACCTACAACCTGTCTGACTTTGTCTCAGCTGGACATTTCATATGAATGGATCATACAAAATGTGATTTTTTTGCCTGACTTCTTTCAATTAGCATAATAGTTTTGAGTTTTATCAATGTAGAATGTATCAATATGGCATTCTTTTTATGGCTAAGTAATATTCCATTGTATATATATACTGTATCACGATTTTCCTGCCATTCACTCATTGACGGACATTTGGGCTGTTTCCATCTTTGGCAATGAGGAGTAGTGTTTCTCTGAACATGTGTGTGTTTATTGTTTGAACATCCGATTTTAATTCTTTTGGATATATCTCTAGGAGTGGCACTGCTGGGTCATGTAGCAATTCTGAGGACCTGCTAAACTACTTCCCACAGAGGCTGATCATTTGATATTCCAACCAGCAACATAAAGGGGTTCCAACTTTTCCACATCCTCACCAATATTTATTTATTTTTTATTTTTTTGACTATCATTATAGTTAGCCGAGTGGGTGTAAATTGATACCTTGATGTGTTTCAGTTCTACTTCCTTATTGACTAATCACCTTGAACATCTTTTCCTGTGCTCATGGCTATTTGTACATCTTCTTTGTATAAGAGTCTATTGAAGTTCTTCCCCTATTCTTTAACTGGATTGTTTCCTCTTGTTGAATTCTAAGATTTCCTTATATTTTCTGGAGACACCTTTATTAGATAAATAATTTGCAATTTTTTTCCATTCTATAGGTTGTCTTTTCACTTTCTGGACAATGTCCTTTCATGGATACGAAGTCCAATGTATCCATTTTATCTTTTGTGACTAAACTTTTGTATCACATCTAATAATTCATTGTCAAATCCAAAGTCATGAAGATTTACTCCTCTATTTTCTTCTAAGAGCTTTATAATTTTAGCTCTTATATTTAAATTATTAATCCATTGTGACTCATTTTTGTATGTGATGTGAAGTAAGGGTACAACATGTTTTTTTTGGCACATGGATACCCAATTGTCCCAGGACCATTTATTAAAGAATATTTGTCCCTTTGAATAGTCTTTGCATCCTTGTCAAAATAGCCATCTGTGTTTTTTTTAATTTTTTTTAAATTTTTTTATTGTTGGTTGTTCAAAACATTACATAGTTCTTGATATATCATATTTCACACTTTGATTCAAGTGGGTTATGAATTGAAGTCAACATTCACCTCTGGTCCTGCCTCATGCTTTCTCCTCCTGACATTCAGAGAAATATCCAAGTTGAGTCCTTAAGCAGGAATACAGTCACTCTATACTCAGGACCTTAACTAAGCCCAGATGGTGAAGAGTGTCCATTTCGCAGGTAGTTTAGGTGGGCTCAGGAGGCAGCCCCTCCATCCTCCTCAACACCAAGGGAGCACACAGGGCATCACATCTACTTAGCCCTGGCCCTTCCCCTGTGCACCGGATGTAGCCCTCCTGCCTCACAGCCACACCAGGGCAGGTACAGCCAGTAGTCTGAGGCATACCTGCCTTGAGACCTTAGAAGAGATGATCTGATCAAGGAAGTGACTTTACCAATGGCTTGTGTATTCCTCTAAAAGCTATTTCAGGTTGTGAGTCCCATTTACAACCCCTGCTACTACAGCCCCTCTTACTGGGTCACAGACTGGTCTTTTGGAAAGTCCGAGTGTCAGTCCTGTAAAGACCCTAGGGGTATCTGGTCCTGAGACCCTTACCCTGGGGTGCAGGACTCAAGGAGGCCAGGATGGGCCGTGGGAGTCTATGAACCTCTGAACATGCAGACACGATTCACTACACTCTGAGCTTTCATTAGATCCCAAAGGGGCCCCTGACCCACAAGGTTAAGAACCCCTGAGGTGACCAGCTAGTGGCAGAGCTGGATGGAACTCCCATAGTCCCTAGGGCACTAGTCTAGTACCCACAGTGATAACAGCAGTGACATCAAAGAGAGGCATTTGGGCAGAAAGCCCACCAGATTCCTGTGCTCTGTGCCCTCAGGGATTCCTAAATATGCCAAGGCCCAAGGAGGTAATGGAGGCCTCTTCTTGGGCCCAGAAAACCCCTGCCTCTCACGCCCGCACCATCATCCAGAGGCCTGTAGGAGCAAAGGCCTCTGAGCATTCTTGTAACACAGACTGATTAGAAAGGTGACTAGGAAGCTAAATTCTGCCAGCCAAAGCTGAGAGACTTGGAAACACACCCAGCCCCACCACTGATTTCAGAAAATCTGAGACTTCCCAGCCCTCACCCACATCCAGGCCTGCAGTGATGGCATGCTTGAAGAGCTCCTCCAGGAGTCTAGGGCCATTTTCCGATGAACTGATGAATCTCTCCTCTTCTAGGAAACTTCCTTGCTTAGCCTCCCCATTTGGACACCTCTTAACACTGTGGCACTAAGCCACCTTCCTCTGGTTTGTACAGTGCACCTGTTTCTCCCAGCAGCCTGAGGTCACCTACTGAGCAGCTCGGAACCTGGGCAGGTGGAACCATCATCAGAGAGGGTAGGACATTTGGAGAGACTGACGAGCTGACAAGAGTGCACCTTTGACATCACTCAAGGGCAGTTTATTGAATATACAGCAGAAATTCAGAGTCCTTAATTCAAACACAGTGGGACTAGGTGATGCCATTCTTAGCAATATTTATGTCACACACCACGACTTCTGGGTGGGTGGTACCACCTAGAGACAAGATCAAGTCCACTCACTAGACTCATGGCAATAGGAACTGAGAGTCAGAAGCCACCATAGGACCCAGCCCCAGAGGAAGAACCAAAGATCGATCACACCCCAGTCCTGACAAAAGGCAGCGTGGTTTTGCAGCCCTGATCAGAACCATGAACTTGACTCTCCCTCTGTTAAAGAGGCAGTGACATCCTATGGAAAGAGCATGGACCCCTGAGTCAGCCAGGCCTGAGCCGGCAAGTAGGTGGGTAACTGGGACAAATTCTATAGCCCTCAGAGGATCAGGCCCCTGTCTGTCCCAAGGATGTTGACTGTGCCTTCCCCAAGGATGGGCTGACTAGAGGCAGCGCATGGAGGGTGCCTGGTGCACAGTAGGTGCTGACTATGGACGTAACCATGGATTAAAAGGGCAGTGAGTGGCCCAGGGACACAGGGGTGGAAAATCCCCAGGTCTCCTTCACTTGGCTTTGTGAATAGGGGTGCACCTTGAGGTCTGAGAATGTATACATTTTCTACTAAATAATAGTCATGCCATAAAGATCTTTCCAGAAGGGCAGGGACTGGAAGGCTGCCTTACTTCTCACCTTCTGGTCGCACAGCTCGGGGTTCACCCCACCATGCTGGCAGGAGTAGCAAAACCTCTTGGACAATGGAGAACTTGACCTAAGCGCAGAAGAAAATCTATCTTCCTCCCTCCCCCCACCCCTCTCTGCATGACCATTCCTTCCTACTGCAGGCCAATGGCTTGTGTATTCCTCTAAAAGCTATTTCAGGTTGTGAGCCCCATTCCCCATCAGCCTCAGAGCTGATCATGGCTTGGGCTTCCAAAGCCTCCTGCCAGCTGAAGGCAGTGGGGAAAATGAGAAGTCCCCAGGTCTGCACAGGACCTACTGACACACGAGGGTGACCACTGATAAGCACTTGAAAGTAAGATGAGGTGTGATGTGGGTAGCTGAGTGAACTATAGACAGTCCTAGAACTCGGAGACAGAGGATTCAGGTGTGACAGGCATCTTTGGCTCTGGCCAAGGCATCCTTTCTTCCAGGTGCTGAGGTGAGCAGGGCAGTGGGCTTATCGGGTGGTCTTCCTGGCTGGGGTGCTGGCTGGGGCACTCTTGCCCTGGGACTCCTTGAGGTCTCCCGCTCGTGCCCCTTGGGTCTTGGTCTGGCTGCTTCTGGTGCTGCTGGCACTACCGGCCCCAAGGTCAGCACTCACCGAGCTGGGTTGGTAACCACAGTAACCGTAATTGCTGCTACTGATGACAGCTGAGGAGGAAGGGCCAAGAGCAGGGGAGGGGTGAGCAGGTGTCAGTTAACCAAGGATGACCCCCTACAGTAACTGCTGTCTCCTCTGAGGACTCCCTGTTTAATCCCACGACAGTGGTCTTCAGTCAAGACACACAACAATGTCTGAGAGCCTGTCACCTGCTAGATGTAAAGGGAGGACACATAGGATAGACAAAGACCCTGCTCTCCTAGACATCCCTATTCCCACCCTTTCCTCTAGATGATAGTGCCACAGGGAGGAGCCAGCAGGGAGGGGTAGACATGATTTCAGTCACTGCTGTCAGGGGACAAAAGGGAATAGGCCTGCTCTGAAGCTAGAGAAACTTCACAAGGCAGTAACAAAAACTTCCAGATGAAATGAGACAATAAGCAAAGGTGCCATCACCTCTGGGTCTCAGGGTCCCTGGCTTTCCCAGCCCAACCCCTTTTCCCAAGGATACTCACAGATGCTAACAGAGGATGGATTCTCCCCAGACATCCTGCAAGACAGAAAAATAAAGGATAAAACCTCAGGGTCTAGATTCAGCTATGCCTTAATGGGCTCTTGCTCTTATGTGTAATCATTTTAATCCATCCTTATAACAACTCAGGTGGAGATTACAACCTCTATCTTACAGATGAGAAAATGGAGACAGGGAAGGACTTACCAGGATCAGACAGCTGGCATGTGGCACAGCCAGTCACTGCACCCAGGCCTGCCTGACCCCAGGGGCTCTGTTCAGACACCACAGCCACCTGCACACTTGACCCACATCTGACACCCCGGCAGGACCCTGTAGCTGAGTCCACCTGCAACCCCCCCCCCTCCACAATTGCCATGTCACCAGCACTATCGTTCTCATCTTCTAGCTCCCAGCAGCCCGTCAGCCAGATGGAGAGTCCACAGCCCCTCCCCCCTCAGGATCAGAGTGCTGTCCTGTGCCCCTTACCTGCACTCTTCGCCCTCCAGCAGCTTGCGGTAGGTGGCGATCTCAATGTCCAGGGATAGCTTCAGGCTCATGAGCTCCTGGTATTCACGCATCATCCGGGCCAGCTCCTCCTTGGCCTGGTGCAGGGCTCCCTCCAGCTCGTCCAGCTTGGCCCGGGCATCCTTAAGGGCATTGTCCCCTCGCTGCTCAGCATCCGCAATGGATGTCTCCAGGTTAGAGCACTGAGGGGCAGAGGGAGAGGAGATCAGCATAAAAGAACGTTGAGATCACAGGGTTAAGGAGCCCGACTCCCTCATTTTACAGATGAGGCCCAAGGTGACAGCTAGGAAGAGCCAGAGCCAACACCAGAACATGGGGCTCCTCTTTTGTGTGTGTGTTGGGGGTGGGGGGGGAGTACTGAGGATTGAGCCCAGGGCACTTTACCACTGAGCCACATCCCCAGCCCTTTTTATTTTTTATTTTGAGACAGGGTCCCACTAAGTTGTCCAGGCTCGCCTTGAACTTGCCAAGTCTGCCTTGGAGCTTGCAATCTTCTTGCCTCAGCTCCTGAGTCACTGGGATTATAGGTGTGTGCCACTGCTCCCAGTTTCCTCTACTTTTTATTGTGGGTGAATGTTTAAAGGAGTTGTCCTGGGAAGCCACAGGAGCAGGTGCATTTCAGAGGACAGAAAGAAAACTCAGTGCTTGAAAAAGCTGTCTAATGCCTGAGTTGAAGGCTACCAATGGCTATAGGTTCAAGGACAACAGATGAGGAGAATCATGCCTAAGTCTCCAAGCAGTTCACCCCTAATGATCAGGCAGCATGCCCAGGGCCCTCACTGTGGCTGGACCCCTCCTTCCTGTTAGCAGCAAGAGTGTGTCTGGATTCCTCCGGCACTCTGCAGGGAGGGTCTGCCTAACTGCTCCTGCATGTGACCTGAATGGGGGAGGTCACTTTCCCTTAGAACAGCAGACCCTAACTTACAGCCAAAACCTCAAAAGCTGGTCTCTGCCAAGCACCCGGGGCACTGTAATGCCAGGTACTAGCAGGGGAGGAGGAGCAGTCCTCACAGAGTCTGTGAACCAGCCAGCTGTGGGCCTTAAAGCTGTCCCTGAGCCCCCTACATTGCATGCATGTTGTGGGGCACAGGGAGGATAATGGTCTCTAGCCTGTTGGCTAACTGTCACTTGTCAGCTGACCTGGCCTCTTCTGGAGGCCCCAAGAAGCATCTTTCTGCCTCTAAAGTCATCAGCCTATGAAACAGCATTTAGGATTTGCTACTCTCACATAAGACAGGATCCCCCAGGGTAAAATGGAAATGGTCCCATGGACAGGGAAGAGGATCCAGGAGGGATTCATTTGTTGCCATGACCCTCCTTCACCAGGACCATGCCCTGCCCTGAGGGCAGGAACTTGACATGGCCACAGAGAGCCCTGACACATGTCCCATACTCCCCACCCATGTTCCATGCCCAGTGGAAGCAGGAGGCACATGGGAAACCCCTAGAGGGGCATACTTGAGTACTCGTGGGCAGGTGTGTTAGACACAAGAGAAATTCTGAATAAGCGGACACGTGGACTTGAATCCTGACCCCAATACTGAGTAGCTGGGGCCCATGGCAAGTCAATTCCTCCAGTCCCTCTTGACTCATCTGTAAACTGGGGGGAGTGGAAGAATAGGCTCAAATCCTCCCAATCCTGATGACAGCAACACAAGGCAGGGTGGGGGAGAAGAACCGTAATGTCCCAGGGGCTCCTAAGCCCAGGAGAGGGAACTAGCTTCTTCTTAAAGGTTGACTCCAGTATCTCCATCACAGAAAGGAAACTAAGTCTCAGTGGTCTTTGCAGGGTAGTAGCTGCCCACCTGCTTCTTCACGTTGGTAATGTCACAGCGGATCCTCTGGATGAGTCGGTTTAGCTCTGACATCTCGTTCCTGGTGTGTTTGAGGTCATCTCCATGCCTGCCAGCTGCCAGCTGCAGCTCTTGGATCTAGTGTTCCAGGGATGGGAGGGGAGTGATGAGACAGGCAGGGAGGGGTCCTGGGCAAACACCCCCCCCACCAGGCTGAGCCAGGGCGACTCTAGAGCAGGTGCTAAAGAAGCTAGCACCTGGGCATCCTTACAGCTCTGAGCAAGAAGTTCACCCCGTTCTCTAAGCAGAACCTATCTGCAATCCCTTGCAACTCACATTTATTAAGCACTTCCCAGCGTGAGAAGAGCCCTGTCCCTCGCTTTCTCTCATTTATCACATAGGCCTACAGGCATTTTCTTAAAGACCAGCTTCTGTCGCAGGTACCCAGCAGTGAGTGGGACAGGTAAGGTCCCCATCCTCCTAAGTCTTTCATTCTCCTGTGGCATTTTCTTGGTCATGGGGGCAGAGAGGAGGGAAGCCCAGGGTTCCGTGTACCCTTGAGGGGGTCACAGTGCAGGATGGGTGGAATTAGTGGCTTCACTCTTCCCTGTGCCCAGTCCTCTGGGAAACAGGGAATGGCATGGCCATGGACAGGACAAGAGACAGGATAAGACATGCAGATGGCCGACACCCCCATCCTTGCTGTGAATTGTGCTATAGTTTAGATCTGGAATGTCCCCAAAGGCCCAAGAGGCTTTGTCCTCAGCTTGGTGCTACTGAGGTGTGGAAGAGTTAGAAGGTGGGGCCTAGTGGAAGGAAGTTAGGTCTTTGGGGGTGTGCCTTTTGGCAGGATATGGAGACCCCTGTCCCTCCTCTCTGTGCTTGCTTCCATGAGCAGCCTCCTTGCCTTATCTACCCCCACCCCACCCCCACCCAGTGTACTGTGTCACCACAGGCCCAAAGCAATAGGGCCGAGTAACCATAAACTAAAACTTCTGAAATCATGAGCCAAAATAAACTTTTCCCCTTTTTGTAAGTTGATTTTCTCAGGCATTTTGTCACAGAGAAGGAAAGCTGACTAGCAGAGGTGGGATCTAATGGTTGTGTGAAAAGGAGCATGAGAGCAGGGGCCCTGGAGGAGATTCCAGTAAGGATTTTCCCATAAGACAGCCCCAAAGAGTCTTACCCAGCACATAATTTCATTATTTGGAACACTCCTAGAATTTCACTTGCTCTTGAACATCTTCCCACACCCATCAGAAAAGAGCTCAGGGCCTCCCCTGCTCTCACTCCCCACCCAACCTCAGCTTGCCTATAGCTACTCTGTGTTTGTGACTCTCCTTCTGCTCTATGGCAGATGCCCCCAACCCTGAAAATGCATTTGTTTTACAATAAGAACACATCATTCTCTCCTCTTTTGAGGATTGCTTGTCCCTCTCTAGTGAGTACGTCCATGCATACCAGTTTCCTGATTTATCTTTGATAATACTGTCTGCTGAGACTTTTCAGCATTGAACCCACTGGTTATAACCCTTCTTCATTGAATCTACAGTGTCCTGGGAAGGCCACCTCTCACATTCACAGGTGGAGATCACCCTTCCCAGGAAGGAGGGAGACCCACCCAGTGCCCACCTTGGTCTGGTACAGAGCCTCGGCTTCAGCCTTGCTCTTCAGGGCGATGTCTTCATAGTGGGCGCGGACCTCGGCAATGATGCTGTCCAGGTCCAGGTCCCGGTTGTTGTCCATGGACAGGATGACAGAGGTCTCACTAGCATGAGTCTGGATCTGGGCGATTTCCTAGAATGAGAGATGAGGACAGAGTCAAGGCCCCAGCTTCCTTCCTGTGTCCCATGAGTCTTCTAGGCCTGTGTTCCCTGGAGAATGGGTCACTGGGTTCCACAGGGACAAAGTGGGGTAGTGTCTGCTGAAGATGTCTGAAGAGCCAAAGGAAAACAGCTCGCAGCAGCAGGCAGCAGGAGGAAGAATGAATTCCCTACAGTTCCACCCAACCTAAGAAGCTGTGCATTAGTAGGACCTCACAGGGTCATTTCTCCTGCCTGCGGGCAAGACCACTACCATGGCCCAGATCAACGGCCTCCTATGTGCACAGCCTCCTATCAGCACTCCAGGGACAGGACGCTGTACTTTCATGGTCAACTAGTGCAGGAATTTGCACCTTGCCACCAAAACATCCCTCCCTATTGTGACCTCCTTCCTCTCCTGGAAGAGTCAGGGGAAGCCCTCAGCTGCAAGGAGACAGAGCAGAGCTGGGGAGGGGCATCCTCACCGCGTCATACAGACACTTCAGGAACTTGATGTCTTTGTCCAGAGAGTCCACTTTGGCCTGAAGCTCCACTTTGACCGTGTAGGCTGCGTCTGCATCCTGCAGAGGGACAGCCACAGCCACGGATCAATACAACCCTAACCCTAACCTAAGCTGCTCTTCCTCTGACCCTGTCCCCAAAGCCACCTGACTTTACTATTATTATTATTTTATTATTATTATTATTATTATTATTATTATTTGCCCACAGGGAAGCACGTTGATGAACAGAATCACTCAGCATCAGTTTCTTCTCAGACTCACTGCATCTTTGGGAACTGGCAAAGCGGGTGGGGACTGCACTTCCTCTGCTGCGTATGGAGAACACTAAGTCCAGAGAGGTGCTGAGTGCCCTCAGGTCACACAGAAGGGCACGCTGAACCAGGGCTTCCTGTTCCCATCCCAGAATTCTCTCCCTTCTGTCCCTATCTTGTCTCCTGTGTGTGTCCTTCCTCTCTAACTTGCTGGAGGCCAGAACTAGGACCCTAACCATGTTAAGACACCAGCCCCCTCTCCAGGTGGCCTGGGCTGAAGCCCTGAGCAGAGTTGCTTAAGATAGGGGCAGAAGAGACCACAGGCTCCTCTCTCCTCACCTTCTTGAGCACCACAAACTCATTCTCCGCTGCAGTGCGCCGGTTAATCTCCACCTCATACCTGCGGGCAGGGAGAGAAGATGGCAGAAGCTCAGCCCTCTCAGCCAAGTAGTCTCTTCTTCTGCTGGCCAGGTAAATGCCCAGGCTGCAGAGTCCCTGGGATGAGCACTGAGGCTAGTGGTAGGTGTAAGAATCCCCTGGATTATCTGACTTCTGTGCTTCTGCTGCACCCTAGGAAAATACCCAGGTGCCTATGGGGCTTTCCAAATTATTGGGTCAATAAGCATAGGCCCCTCTATCCACCAGCTAGGGCCTTCTCACCAAACAGGGTGGGGCTTTCCCCCATAACCAGAGAAGGGACATGAGCTCCTGATCCTGGAATTGACTCCCTCACCTCTGAAAAAGTGGTTCAGAGATTAGGTACATGACCCCTGACCTTTGGCAGGTCCTGCTCACCTCTTCTTGTAGTCCTCCACCACGTCCCGCATGTTCCGCAGCTCCGAGTCCAGCCTCACCCTGTCCCCAGACAGGGTCTCCAGCTGTTTCCGCAGGCTGCTGATGTGGCCCTCATAAATGGGCTCCAGGTTCTTCCTACAGTTGTTCAGGTCCAGCTGCTGCAGCAGCTCCCACTTGGTCTCCAGCACCTGGTTCTGCTGTTCCAGGAACCGCACCTGGAACCCAAACCAATGGCCACCTGGAACCACAGGGATGCTCTCAGGCTCCCTGAGAACCATTGACTCTCCAGATTAAGGGGATTTTTGTAAAGTCCTTTGTCTCCAGTTCTGACTCACTGACCTTGGCATCTGCTGCAAAAATGACCCTTTACAGGTTCTCGCTCCCTCACCTCTGGACTACCAGTCCCTGAAAACTCAAAGGCACCACAGCTTTCTTCTGTTGCCTACTCTGGTCCCAAGAGATACTTTTTCATATCTCAGCTAAGTGTTTCTTCCTGTGCTCTGAGTTCTTCCTTCGGAACAGCGTTTGATTCTCTTAGCCCTTCATGTTCTTCGGAGAGCTGGGGACCTACCCAGCTGTCCCCAGGAGCCCACCACTGCTTTCTCAAGGTAGGGCTACCCTCTGCCCAATTTCCCACCCTTCTCTGTATAATCCCCAAAGAAGACAACTCATTCATTCATTCCGTTGTTCTACCTGCCTTGCAAATCTGTCAAATCTGTTCTCTGTCCCTTATGATGAGGGAGCCCCTCCTGAGGCCCAGCTACACCCTTCCATCCGTGTTGCCCAGCCCTTTCCCAGGCATTAAGGAAATTTCTCCTACCTCATTGAACCACCTTCTCCTCCTCCTGTTAGACCCACCTTGTCAATGAAGGAAGCAAACTTGTCATTCAGAGCCTTGATCTGTTCCCGCTCCTGGGCGCGCACTTTCTGAATTTCAGGGTCCAGCTCCACGTTGAGGGGGGCCAGGAGGTTCTTGTTGACAGTGACCTGGTGGATGCCCCCAGGCAGGCACACAGAGGCACACGAGGGCCCCAAGGCCACACTGCCAAACATACTTCCAGCAAAGCCGCTGGCCCGGCCCCCTCCATACCCAGAGCCATGCCCAAAGCTGTACCCTCCAGCCCGAACGCCACTGCCAGCCACGTTGAAAGAAATATGCCGATTCCCTCCAAGACTGTAGAGGCTCCGGCTGCCAAAGCCAGCCCCAGCCCCTTGGCCAACAGTGCGGTAAGAGGCCAAGTTGCCCACTGTCTTCCTTGGCACCACTGCAGAATGCACGCTGAAGCTGCCCTTGTCACCACCGGACTTGAAGTTCAGTTGCCGACTCATGGTGGGGAAGAGGAAGCCGACCGAGTGGGAGAAACTCAGTTGCCAGGGGCTAGACAGCACGAGGCTGGGGCAGCCAGAGCGCTGCCTCCTTTTATCCCTGCCGAGCCCAGGCCCCCGGAACAGGGCGGCTCTGTGCCATCTCCCCTGCCCCTGCCGAAGGGCCGGGGGGCCATGGGCAATTTGCAGAACAAAGAACTCCAAGCCCTTTGCAGCAACAAAGCCCTTCTGATAGCAAGTGGAACATGCTGCCCTTGCACACTGGAGTGGTCTAATTTGGAGTTTATCTGTGCTCCCTAATTAGGGGCCTGGAGAGTTATCCCCTCCCGAGATCTCCCAGCTCTGTTTTGCCAGCGCTGCCTCCTTCTTGCTTATCTATCATCAAGGAGCAGGAGGAAAGCGAGGTTTTATCCAGAGAGTGCTCATCTGGACACTCCAGGTTTATTCCCAAAGGAAACCATCTTCCTGGTATCCATTCTTGCTGAGGAACTGAGGTTCTTAAGCCAGAGAAAAGAAGATTTGGAAAGGAGATTCTTCTTGGAAAGGCATCCTCAAAGATCTGGAAAGAAGCTCCACAGAGCCACTCTCAGGGTCATGCTAAGGATCACAGCTGTCTGGCAATGGAGTGGACCTGAGAAAGGAGGGTAGAAAGGAGCAGGTAGCAGCTGCCTCAGCCCCTGCAGAGATGTTGTCTGGGGATTTCTGTATTAGGCAGGGACAGTCTGGCTTGTAGTGACCTCAAATTTGCTTTTTTTAACAGTGAGAAGCTTTTCCGACAGCCAGCATGTCCTCCGGTGGAATTTTCTTTCCTGGATAAGCTTATCAGTCCTATCCTGGAAAGCCAGGCAGGGGCTGGACATCAGCTCATCTCTCCCTGTGTAGAACGCCCCCTATGGGAAGCCCTAAGTTCCACTGTTGGGATCAGGGTGGGCTGCTCTGCCAATGTCCTGATCACTGTCAGGAGCAACTCAATTTTAGAACAGGAAATATCAGCCCTTTATAGCTCAGGTAGTCCTGATGGAGTGGCATGTTTAAAAATTATTTCAAACCTAGGTATGTGGTAGCTGTCCTACTGCAGGACGCTGACCACGACCTATAACTCTATCAGGGACCTTGACTGTTGGCATCAGGCAGAAGATAGCAGACAGCTGCTCCCACTGTTGGAGTGCAGACAGGAAGGATGAGCAAGGCAGGGAGATATGGAGGCTGGAACCTGCTTCAGAGGACTTCCCCTTCAATCCTTGAAGCAGCAGTGGACCTGCCTCCCAGCTTTCCTGGCAGGGCCTGACCCTCGGGCCAGGGAGGGCACAATTGAAATGGTGGCTTGGGGTTTTCTAAGCCTGATTGAGGGTTCACAGTTGAATGTTTGCTTCCTGCTGGGCAGATGCTGGCTTTGCCTCCTTTCTGATGTGACAATGTCAACAAATCATGTAAATTCCTCAGCCAAGGGGAGGGGGGTGATTGACATATGGTCCCAGTCCCTAAGGAGCCTGCAGGCCAATGAGAGGGATCTGAACCAAGAACTTAAACCAGAGCCAGAGTCACAGAAGGGCACTCTGAACTATGGAACAGAGGTTGCAGAGGAGGAGTGGCTACTTTGGATGGGGTTTTAGGAGCCTCCTGAAAGCTGGGCTTAGTATCCCCCAAAGTGCTCATCACAGGGGCTGCCTTAAAGGAGCAGAGGTTACAGAATGACTTCCAGCGATAGTAGCAGTGGGGGCAGCAGTAAGATGATCTCAGTAATAGTGTTAACAGAGGAGCCAAGGCCTATGGTTCACTGCATTTCCATGCCAGGATTCTGCCAGGCGATACATGTATCTATAATTTAGCCCTCACATTGCTAAATTTATTTACAGTTGAGGAAACTGATGTTTAGTGCCATTAAGGAGCTTGCTCAAGGTCACTCAGCTATTCAATCAGAGCTGAGACTGGAGTTCAAGTACACCTGGTGTCAAAGCCCATGTTCCTAACCTATGTGACAGAGGCAAAGAGGCAGAGGCTTCCTGGTGTGAGCAGCAGGCATGGCAGTGTGGGATGAGTCCCTCTTGATAATGTTTTTCTTTTCTTGAATTTTGATACCTGGGATTGAACCCAGGGATGCTTAACCACTGAGCCACATGCCCAGCCCTTTTTTAAAATATTTTATTTAGAGACAGGGTCTCACTGAGTTGCTTAGGGCCTTGCTTAGTTGCCAAGGCTGGCTTTTGAATTCACAATCCTCCTGCCTCAGCCTCCTGAGCCGCTGGGGTTACAGGCTCGTGCCACCACACTCAGCTCTTAGGTTTTTGAGTCAAGTGTGATGTGAGGGGAAAGAGAGGCTGCCACAGAATCAGGGGCCTGTGACAGGTGGTAGCTTAGGATTAGATATCACTCCAGAGTCCTGAGACAAATTTAGCCAAAATAGGAGTGGGCAGAGGGAAGGAAAAAAGTCTCCTTCCTGAAGGGCTGTCATATTCTAGAAGCCCCAGTAGCTGGCCCTTCACCCCAGGATCCCAAAGGGAAATAAACCTGGTTCTGATCATGGCAGTCTCCTGGGCCCATTTTTGCATCCCATCTGCCTGGCTGAGCGTGAGCCCCAATGTGCGGGAGAGCTAAGCCTCTTACTGAGGACCCATAACAGAGCCTTTACAAAGTAGGAAAGTCTGGATCCTCAAATTGAGAAAGACTTAGGATAAACCCAAGGCAGATTTCCAGGTGCCCATGAAAATGTGGGAACATGAACTAAACCCACCCATGCTCAGAAACCATGGGCTGGAGGCAGTTACTGAGTTCCCCCCGTAGGCCAGGCCCTGTGCTGGGGAGTGTCAGCAAGGACGTAATGATGGTGATGGGGATGACACTGATGGTGGTGGTGACAGAGAAGGACTAGGCAGAGGTGGAGGGGATTTCCCCACAGCAGTGGTGTGATCATGGCCACACAGAAATGCCCTCTCTAACAGGTGCCCAGGGGGCACAATTGCAGGGAACTGCGTTTGGCCCAGGCAGGAAGATCTCCACAGTTCCAGCCCTCTCCATGTTGGCTACCCTTTCATCACTCACCACACACTACACCCTGCTCTTGGAGTTCATTGGACTAATTTTTGTCCATGGCCTGAAGAAATTGATTCATTCAATAGGTAGGAATGACTACGTGTTCAGTTCTATGCTAGACATGGAGAGAGATGTCTAAGATACTGTCTTTCTCCTCTAGGAAGTTAACCAAACTGAAGAGACAAAATATAAGCACATTAAAATTGTTCCATTGTAATTGTTATCGTTTTCATTCTGCATAGCTGTGTTGGATTATAGACAAAAACGAGTAACTCCGATGAGCTATTACTGAAATTCTGATTTTTTAAAAAATCGCCTAAAATGTGCTTTTTGATTATCCTAAGTCATCACCAGCCTAAACAAACAAACAAAACCAGAACAAGACAGATGTGTGGCTGTTTGGAGTGAGGGGTGGGAGGTAGGCCAACCTGGGCAGGTACGTGGAGCATCCCTGAAGCAGTGGGAGCCCAGGTGGGCTGTGGGTGGTTCCCTTCTCCTGCAGAGAGTGTAGAATCAGGTGAGGGTCCCCAGGGGAAGCAACGGCACAGAGCCTGTGCTTTAGGTTAAAGAATAGAGCAGTGGGGGAAACAGGTGTCCAGGGAGCCTGAGGAAGCTGTGTCCACTGTGCCATAATCCCCTTTTTTTGTTTAGAAAAGTCCCAGAGGGCAAGAATCACATTCCACAAAACACATCGTACCAGAGGTAAATAGAAAGCAGCCCCAGATGGGTCATTGTGACAATGCCAAATGGACATAAGTCAGGAAGGCTTGGTGTGAAGATGGATAAGGAAGGTCATTTTTCTCCGGCCATTTGGCCTTCTGACTGCCCCTGACACAGGACAACTGTTGAAGGGCTAGAATCTGTAGGTAAAAGGTCACTCATAAACAAGAGAAGCAGCTGGAAGGATTCTTGAGCTAACTTTGGGGCAACACAATCCAGGGATGAACCACAGGACCTTAGTGATGACCTGGAATTCTTTGCTTTCCCTTAGAAAAGGAGCTCGGTGCAGAAATTGGACCCACTGCCTGTCCAAGACCAGCCAGCAGGAGTGAGAGGAGGTTCCCTCCTCACCCAGAGTTAGCTAGCTCACACAACCCTGTCCATCTGCCTTCCTCCCTGTCCTCTCTGCGTCCCTCCCCAAACTCTCCATCTTCCTGACCTGAACCGCGCAGGAACCTGGGGGTATTCAGCCCCATGGCAGAGAGGAAATGCACCAGGGAGCGGGTACAACTGCTGCCATCTGATCTGGGGCATTGGAGAGGAAGGACAGGGAAGGGATGCGAGGAGGCACCCTATCCCCATTTAAAAATAAAAATATTTCTTTTTGGGTACTGGAAATTGCACCCAGGGGTACTTTACCACTGAACTAAATCCCCAGTTCTTTGTTGTTGTTGTTGTTGTTTGTTTGTTTGTTTAATTTTGAGACAGAGGCTTGCTAAGTCACTGAGGGGATCCATCTGCCTCGGTTTCCCAAGCCACTGGGATTATAGGACTGTGTCACCATGCCAGGCTCAGCATCAATTTAAATTTACTTCCACTCACACCCACTAGATGCCTACTCTGTTATGGATACTGTGCTGAATGACATCCCAGACAGGAAGTCACCAAGGTCAAAATTCCCACATGAGCATCTATTTATGACAAATGAAACAGATCACGGTCAGGGACCTGGAACCTGGCAGCCATCCCCTCATGACTACTGGTCTCATGGACCTTTCTACAGCACCCTTGGGGTATGCATGGGGAGCTGCCTCTCTGCAGACACCCTTCTCTGGGTCAAGGGCTTCCCCTAACCAGCATCAGCCCCTCGGTCCTCCTCTGTGGCAGCCCAGCTCAGGACAGGCACATGCCTCTCTTCTCATTCAGTGCCTTGGTGCCAATGTAAAAAAAGGTGCCCCTTCTTCTGTAAAGATGCAGTCCTTTGCGGGGTGCATGGCTGGGTCACAGCCCCCACTTGCTCTTCACCATGCCCTAGTGCTGGGCACAACCTGCAAGTTGCCTCCAGAGCAGCCTTGCTGAATCTCCAGAACAGGCTCATGTTGCACAGG